CAAATCAAAACACATTAAAAAAAATAAAACCACAAAACAAAAAAACAAAAAAACAAAAAACCCACAACCAAACAAACCCAAACCCCAAAAACAAACCAAAAAAGACCCGTAAAGCATCATGGACTCAATCCAAATTGAATCATGGCTGTTAAATTCTCCCTAGGGATGTAGGAGTTGATGATTCCCTTAGAGCCCAGCTCTTTGCCAGGTACCCATGACTGTCTTGAAGAGCATCCTGGACCCACAGAGATGGGGATGTTGTCTTCCCAGTGTGCTCCCACCAATATGATATTGCTGTCATTTAGAGGGAACCTTACAGTGTCCTCAAGGACTTGTGCTGGTGCTGTATTGTGTTTGCCACAAAATGACCTCCCTCATGTCGTGAGAACTTCCCTTTCTGTATCGTTGTCTTCCTCCTCTGTCCTCATTCCTTTCCCTCAATACTCCTACAATACTCTAGAGGCACTTCTGAATCCAGCTGACCTCTGGCTGTCTTTACTCATCCTTCTAGCTGAGTTTGCATCGGGGAAAACTCTCCTTCAATTATGCTGTCTCTTTGCCTGGCGCTCCATCTTAGCCTTAAAACTTAAAATGAGGCGACCCTCTCTGGAGCTGGCCAGGCAAGAGGTCAGAGCTTAGGGCAGACTCTTGTGACTCCTCAGTGGGTTGCCACAAGTGCTGCTCAGAAGAGGCAGTGGCAATTTGACAGAGCCACTTCTCACCTTCTCCCCAGCTCGATGCCCAGTTCACCCATCTGATAAATGTTGGAGAGGCGTTGGCACCGATGCTCTGTTTTTAATGAGCTGTTTTTCCAAATTCCCATGAAATGGGAAGGGTGTCGAGGAAGGGTGTACTCTGGTTCTGCTTCCTTTTGACCTTTTGCTCGCTCTTGGCCGCAAGGGGTGAGGTCCCAYAGTTGGGTTTCACCCTGTTCGCAGCAGTGCCGTTCAGGCAGGGGAGAGGAGGTGGTGGTGTTATGATTTGGCTTGGCTTTGTTTTCCTTTCCAAAGATGGGCCCAATGTGGAAGAAGGAAGGGAGAAGTTGAATTGAGAAAAGTCAGCTTTTGCAGTTAGGGGGGACGATCGGGAGTCAGCAGACGCAGGTTCTATTTCTGGCACCGCAGCAAAACTTCCCGATGTCGCTGGGCAAGGCAGATCACGCATCCCCACCTCCCCTCGCCTCCCTCCGGCCCAACACCGCGCGCTGCCTCGCTCACCCCCGGGGCGCGGGGAGAGATGCTGAGGGGGCGGCTCTGCCGCGGAGCTGCGGGCGGCACGGCGGCTCTGCCTCGGCCCCGCAGCATCCTCGGGGAGCAGCGCCTGGCCCAGCACTCACTACCGCAGCCCGCKCAATAACCCACCCTCGGCTCTGCGAGCCCCCCGCCCCCCCATTCGAGGGGCTCCTTTGTGCGGAGAGGCGGGGGACGGCCGGGCCATGCCCCGGGGGGCGGGCAGCCCGCGGCGGCGGCCCGGGGGGGCGGGCGGGCGCGCCGGGGGAGGAGACAGGCGGTGAGGGCGGCACAAAAGGGGCTGCTGCAGCCCTGCCCGCTGCTGCCGGCTGGGCTCGGCTCGCCGCGGCTCTGCAGCGCATCCTTTCCCGCGGCCGGGAGGAGGTGCCGGGCCGCTCCGCGGAGAAGGAGGAGGAAGGCGGCGGGGGGCTGCGGGCTCGCCTCTCGCCTCGCCGCGGCCGGCGCCGAGCCATGCCGGGGGGCGGCGGGCGGGCCGGGGGCGAGCGGCAGCCTCGCCCCGCCAGGGGCCCGGCGGGCACCGACACTGCGCCGGCCGGGGGTGAGTGAGCGAGCGGCCGGCGGGGCTGGGGCGGCGGGCTGAGACCGCTCCGGGGGAGCCGCCCCGGGGCAGCGGGCGCTGCGGACAGCGGCTACGGGACCCCCACCGCTGCGTCCCTCTCCCCCGCCGCTGCTGCCACCTGCAAGTTGTGCCTCGGCCCGGGGGTGCGGCGTCACCCCCTGCGAGCGCTGCCGGAGAGGCTTCCCCTGCCGAGCCCCCACCTTCGCGCTCCTTATTTATTTATATTAGTGCTATTTTTTTTTTATTCTCTCTCCCCCTCCTCCCCACGCCCCCCCCCATAATCCCGGCATCCCCTGCTAGGGAGCATCGGCTGTGGGGAGGAGGGAGGTGATGCTGCCAGCCCCCTGCCCGCAGCGGAGGGCTCGCCGGGGATGGAGGCACCCTCCCTCCGGACGGGGCACTGCAGCGAAGGCCCATCTGCTGCCCGGGCTCGGTTTGCGAGGAGGGCACGGGCTGGAGATGCGTGCCAAGCCTGCAGCAAGCGAGAAGGAGTAACAGGAGTGCCTGCGTGGGAGGGAAAACATCCATACAAATGTGTGTGTATGATCAAACGGCCCCTCTCCCCTGCTCTGTCTCCATGTCAGATGGCTGCAGTTTCCCCGGTGGRGGCTGGCCGCAGAGGGGCTCGGATACCCCAGTTCTCCCCGCTCGTGCAGGGCTCTCGGGTTATTTGTGGGYTGGGGTAGCTGTACATCCTGCCGGAGTGACACGGGCTGGTGTAGCTCAGTCCTTGCGAGAGTTTTGCTCTTTGGGTGAGTGTGACAAGGTTGATGGGGAACACGACATCTGCTGCAGCTCTAGACTTCCTCAGAAAGCTCAGTAGGGAAGATAGCGTGGCGCGGGATAGAGAGAGGCTTCTCTGAGTGCCTCAGCTTGTGGTTTTCCTTTGGGGATTTCCACAGGCTGTGTTTCCTCGAGCCACGCCTGGGTGGTATGGGAGCTCTGCCTCTTTCCCAGAAATTAAGCTGGGGTCTTGCACTTTTCCTTTGCACTCTAGGGCAGAACTTGGGTCAGGAGCAAGCTTGCCTTGTCTCCAGCACATAGTGTGGGTGCTGAACACCTCTCCTTGCAGAGGACGACCCTCCAGTTAACTCCAAATCTCTCCCCTTGAGTGGGAAGTTCAAGCCTGTGAAAACCTTCGGTGGCATCCCTGCTAACGAATATGACTTGAGTCACCAGAAACTCTGAGCCTGTGTAAACTGAATTTCAAATTCCTGCCTACTCTTGCCCCTGTATCCCTCACCTTTTCAGTGTGTGAGTCAGCAAGAACTTTACAGGTTCCCTCCCCAAAGGGTGTCTCTTGTGCTTTGTGGGTCCCACCTGCAGAAGTGGCGTTTGAGTCCAGCTGGTGCCTGTGATTTAGCAAGCATTTGCAAGTTCCTGATGCTGCAGCSTGGTTGCTGTCAACTCAGAGAAGAGCTGAAATTGAGCAGAACCTACCATTCATTGSTTGACCCTCAGGCAATGGAGAGCCATCTCTGAGAGGAGAAAAGACTGTGGGTGTCCCTACACTCCAGCAAACCTCTGGTTTCCAAAGCACCCCTAAACACCGCTATAGCACCTGTGCTTGTGTTTCAACCCCAGTAGTAGTGCTGGGAGTAGGAGGAGAGCAGTCCTTTGAGCAATTCCTGGGGTGTCTCTGGCTCCCCTGTAGCACTACAAAAGAAGCATTGAATGAAAGCGATTGCAGACCGCAGAAGAAGAGTGAAGCTGTGGCTCTACTATTGCATGTCATAAAAGTTCCTTGAAGATTTATGGCTCCTCTACACCCTCAGGTGATTTTGCAGTAATGGTAAGAAATGCACTGCAAGGTATAACATTCCTCCCTGTGAGGACTCAGTTATACCTGCATAGCTTGTTTGTAATGGCCTGGATATGGCAGTTATATCCTTAGGACAGAGGGGATGGATTCTGGCTGGCTGCAGGTGTATTTTCTTTCCCAGTTCCTAATTTGGTGGCCCAGCTGCTGCCTTTTGGCAAGTATACCTTTGGTCCTAGKTGCTGCTGAAGCTCACTTCCATTGGGTGTGCCAAAGTGTGGATGGGTTTCCAAACTGGGTTTGGGGGCTGAGCTGCCTGCTTGCCTCCCTCCCTGAAAGCACTGGTAAGATTGGAAAAAGAATTGCCTGTGTGGCACACAGGGTTTGCCTTAGCAAGGAGGTCAAGGAGAGCAGGTGGAAAACAGTGAGTCTTCTTTCAGCAATGTTACCTTCAGTTGATGCTCACAACTGTGAAGTTACCTGGAGCACTTGTGCCCAGCATGAGACAGGGATGGCTGGCCTGGAGGCTTGCTGGGGCTTCATAGAGCACATTGAACCTCAGCCAGGTGTGTGGCAGACATAGCCACACTCGGTRTGTTTGCCTGAGGAGCATACCTGCGAGGTTTGTGTGCCTATGGGCTTCCCATGTGCCTTATGTTTACCTTTCTCCTCTTCCTCCCACGCACAACTGGTGGAATGCAGTGTGATAGTGGGGCCTGCCAGATTGGTGTGACATGCTTACTGCATGTCTTCAAGGGACAGTCGTGTGACAGACGTGGGTGGCTGTTTGCTGGGTGCACATAGCGATGCGCCTGGCTCCTGTTGGATGCACTTGCCATGGAACACAGTCACTTCTGTAGAGTTTTTGCCTGCAGTAAATGTGGAGCACATAAGCAATCAGGGGTATGGCAGTCGTTCAGGGCAGTGCATCTAGATGTTGTTGTGCACGTTCAGTATGTGAAGTGCACCATAGGATAGACAAGTTTCTTTCCATCCCTCCCTCGCTTTGACCTGTCAGCAAGCAGAGTTAAACTCTGTCTCCTGGCAGAGAATTTTCAGCTTTCCTCCTCTCTTGAGAGCATCTTAAAGAGCACGTGCTATCACAAGTTAATTCCCCTACACCCTCCAGGCTCTGCATTGGATCGTAAAGGTGGAGGAAAGGAGTGGGTGAGTTTGGTGATGGATAGATGGAGCAAGCTGGGCCAGCATTCATTGCTAAAGGCCTGTTAGGTTTTAGGTGGGGTTAGTTGCTCTAAAATGAGCCCTTTGTACATTGTTGGAATCTGTGACCCAATCAGTGGGTTGTAGCTGGAGGAGGTGGTGCTAACAAAGACTGGTACAGCTGTCAGTAACTCTGGCAGAGAGGAAGGCGGAGGGCGTACTGACTGGCACAAGAGATGTCTTCRTGACTGTAGGTCAGTGGAAGGTGCTTCAAAGGGCTGGTTCATGTTATCAGCCCTGACTACAGAAGCAGGAGAGTGTGGGTAGTTGTGCCCACCTGTTTTCTGCCCCTGTCACCCATCAGTTGTACACAAAAGGTCAGGCTGCCCTGCAGTAGCACAAGATACCATCAGGACACTACAATGAAGCATTACAGCGGCATCAGGAATTTGGAGAAGGTTAGGCAGATGGAGCAGTACAGTGTAAGGGGATGTGGGGGTCTCTGATGAATGCTTGCTCTTCCCCATCCTGGATGTTCTTGGAGAGGTGGTGTCGTAGCTGCAATGCATATGTAGACTATGCTGTCGGGTCAGTGATGCAGACTGGCCTCGAGGAGCCATGACATGCATGGAGGGGCCAAGCCTGGCATTGTGGGCAGCTCTGGGTCGGATTTGGGGTACTTTGATAGCATTAGGTGAGTGGCTTGCAAGGACTGGGCTGTGCTGCAGCAGCAGTGCTGGGTGGGGTGCCAGGACCAGCTGCTTGTCCCAGGGTAGAGTTGCTGTCATGGAGCTGGTAAGTTCCCCCTTTCTCCTGGCAAGGTGAAGGGAGATGCTGTGTGGTGGAGCAGTGGTGTAGGATTTACAAAAACACCTCGTGCCTGCATCCCTGTGGAATAAACTCCGGCTGCATATCTCAGGAGGGCAGAAACATGATTTCTTTACCTTCTTTTTCTGACTTTTGTGCTTCTTGGCATGCAGACTCTTTACTTCCTGAAGCTGTTCCTGAAGCACAAGAGGCATCTCCTGCTCCTCAGACCTGCGAACACCTGGGTGCATTTTTGTGTGCAGAAACTTGTCCAGTAGAGCTGATAGGTGAAAGGGAGTGCAGCACTGCACTTCAAGCTTTCATCAGGCAGGCTGAGGGAAGAAACAGCAAGAAGGGAGCTGGCTGCCTCACAAACAGCAAGGGCTTGTTCTAGAGTTGTGATTTTGGAAGGGATTAGTCCCTGCTTTAGGACAGTAAAAGTTAAGTGAGCTCCTCACTGTTGGGACCTTGGCCTTTTGTACTGAGATAACCCCCTAACTGAATTCGCAGCTTGATGACCTCAGCTAAGGTTCCTTGTTTCCCCACCCAGGGGAGTGCCCAGGTCTGTGTCTAAATAGGCTTTCTCAAAACATCGGCTATGTGGTACGTCCACACTGAGCTTTGCCAGCAGTCTTTTTCAATCTTTAATGCAAAGCTGCAAGCAGCAGGAGAGGTGAGGAGAGGTTGTGGCTGACCGGAAGAGAGGAAGGCAGAGAGGGCATCTCCTCCATTTGAGGATCATCTGTGTCTTGCATTTTGACAGAGTTTCTCTCCAAGGACCTCAAAGCAACCTGTTAAGCGTCTTTTAATTAGGTAAGGCCTTACCCAGAGTAGAAAAGTCTCTCACATTTCCCACACAGGGAAACTGAGGCACGGAGCAAGGTTGTGCCATGCTCAGTGGCAAGTGCAGGAGCTCGTCAGGAGAGCAGCAGCTGGAGTGCCACTCTTCCTGTACTTGCTTTGCTGCTGGCTGCCTTGGAAATCCTGGAGAGCAGTGATGTGTGAGTGCTGAGCCAGGGGTTATCGGTAACCTGCAAGTCACTGCTTGGGTTCTGCAGCCCTTCTCACCACAGATATCGCCTCCTTCTCGATCTGCTGCCTGATCTATAATCCCAGCTCCCTCCTGCCTTTCCCTTGGAGTGTCGTTTCCCCCTCGGTGTGTAAATCCATACAGGTTGGGCTAGGGTTAGTGAGCAGAATCAACCTGCATGATCTCTTCAAGGCTTTGGGGTAATTCTTGGGATATTGCTGC